AAAGTCATAAAGATTGGGGAAGGGCAAAGAAGACCGCAGACACAATATAGTTTAGATGGCCAAAGACTGCAAACCTCACTCAAGGAAAAAGATCTGGGGGTAAACCATACCCCCGGCCGGGATTGAACCCACGGTCATAGAGTATGGTTTATTTGCAATCGTGTCATTACGATTTCTTGAGTCATGTTGACGGCAGTGAAGGGACTTGAGCTAGAGTTCGTCACGGCCACGCTAGCTGGAGATTCCTCTGTAAAAACTTGCATTTGTGGTCACAGAGGTGCCTGTGCTAACTTTCCTATGGTGTAGAAATATACCTAGTTGGATGAATCTTATTGTGGCTAGCTGGTCTAGTGGCTAACGCGACGGGCTGGAGTTTTGAGACTCTATGACCGCGGGTTCAATCCCGGCCGGGGGTATGGTTTATTTGCAATCGTGTCATTACGATTTCTTGAGTCATCTGGGGGTAAGTATAACACCGAGCATATCTCCTGAGGCGCACATCAATCAGATAACTGCTGCAGCATACGGGCGCCTGGCAAACCTACGGATAGCGTTCCGATACCTCAGTAAGGATTCGTTTAAGACTCTGTATACCATCTACGTCAGGCCCATACTGGAGTATGTAGCACCAGTTTGGAATCCACACCTAGTCAAGCACGTCAAGAAATTAGAGAAAGTGCAAAGGTTTGCAACAAGACTAGTCCCAGAGCTACGGGGATTGTCCTATGAAGAAAGGTTGAGGGAAATCGGCCTGATGACACTGGAGGACAGGAGGGTCAGGGGAGACATGATAACGACATATAAAATACTGCGCGGAATAGACGAGGTGGACAAAGACGGGATGTTCCAGAGATGGGACACAAGAGGTCACAATTGGAAGTTGAAGACTCAGATGAATCAAAGGGATGTTAGGAAGTATTTCTTCAGTCATAGAGTAGTCAGGCCATGGAATAGCCTAGAAAGTGATGTAGTGGAGGCAGGAACCATACATAGTTTTAAGGCGAGGTATGATAGAGCTCATGGGGCAGGGAGAGAGGACCTAGTAGCAATCAGCGAAGAGGCGGGGCCAGGAGCTGTGAATCGACCCCTGCAACCACAAATAGGTGAGTACAAATAGGTGAGTACACACACACACACACACACAAACTCGTACACACACACACACACACACACACACACACACACACACACACACACACACACACACACACACACACATACACACACACACACACACACACACACACACACACACACACACACACACACACACACACACACACACACACACACGCACACACAAATTCGTACACACACACACATACACACACACACACACACACACACACACACACACACACACACACACACACACACACACACACACACACACACACACACACACACACACACACACACAGGAGAAGAATGGTGGAACATCTAGAAAGGAATGATCTCATCACCAGTAGACAACATGGTTTCAGAGACGGGAAATCCTGTGTCACAAACCTACTGGAGTTCTATGACATGGTGACAGCAGTAAGAGAAGAGAGAGAGGGGTGGGTGGATTGCATTTTCTTAGACTGCAAGAAGGCGTTTGACACAGTACCACACAAGAGATTAGTGCAAAAACTGGAGGACCAAGCAGGAATAACAGGGAAGGCACTGCAATGGATCAGGGAATACTTGTCAGGAAGACAGCAGCGAGTAATGGTACGAGGCGAGGTGTCAGAGTGGGCACCTGTGACCAGCGGGGTCCCACAGGGGTCAGTCCTAGGACCAGTGTTGTTTCTGGTATTTGTGAACGACATGACGGAAGGAATAAACTCCGAGGTGTCACTGTTTGCAGATGACGTGAAGTTGATGAGAAGAGTTCATTCGACCGAAGACCAGGCAGAAATACAAAGGGATCTGGACAGGCTGCAGACCTGGTCCAGCAACTGGCTCCTGGAGTTCAATCCCACCAAGTGCAAAGTCATGAGGATTGGGGAAGGGCAAAGAAGACCGCAGATGGAGTACAGTCTAGGGGGTCAGAGACTACAAACATCACTCAAGGAAAAAGATCTTGGGGTGAGTATAACACCAGGCACATCTCCTGAAGCGCACATCAACCAAATAACTGCTGCAGCATATGGGCGCCTGGCAAACCTCAGAACAGCATTCCGACATCTTAATAAGGAATCGTTCAGGACCCTGTACACTGTGTACGTTAGGCCCATATTGGAGTATGCGGCACCAGTTTGGAACCCACACCTAGCCAAGCATGTAAAGAAACTAGAGAAAGTGCAAAGGTTTGCAACAAGACTAGTCCCAGAGCTAAGAGGTATGTCCTACGAGGAGAGGTTAAGGGAAATCAACCTGACGACACTGGAGGACAGGAGAGATAGGGGGGACATGATAACGACTTACAAAATACTGAGAGGAATTGACAAGGTGGACAAAGACAGGATGTTCCAGAGACTGGACACAGTAACAAGGGGACACAGTTGGAAGTTGAAGACACAGATGAATCAAAGGGATGTTAGGAAGTATTTCTTCAGCTACAGAGTAGTCAGGAAGTGGAATAGTTTGGGAAGCGATGTAGTGGAGTCAGGATCCATACTTAGCTTTAAGCAGAGGTACGATAAAGCTCATGGTTCAGGGAGAGTGACCTAGTAGCGACCAGTGAAGAGGCGGGGCCAGGAGCTCGGACTCGACCCCTGCAACCTCAACTAGGTGAGTACACACACACACACACACACCCACACACACACACACACACACACACACGTGGTAATGCTTTATTTACAGCTAGCAAAGTCAGGGTATTTCTCCAGAATGGTCTGTAATATACCACTGTGGATAAAATACTTTGCCATTTCTTGAACATTTCTGAGCGAGTTGTTTCTAAATTCATTAATTTGATCACACTCCAGTACATAATGACGCAGGGTGTGACAATAGTCCATCTGGCAAAGTTTACATTTCGTTTGGTCTACATCTGTGTGACCCATTCTGTACTGTTTTTCGTATAGGTCCATTGTATTTATGGATTTGAGGATACTGGGTGTTAGCCAGGGACTGTTCAATCTCTTTGAAGTTATATGTTTAGTTTTTTTAGGGCCGGGAGAATACCGGCGAAAAAAAAAAATTAGGGCAGTGCTTGTTATAGAGGTATTGGCTCTTTTTTAGAAAATTATTAATACATTCGTCAATATCTGTATTGATTTCTAGCTCAGTGTGCCAGTCAATGTTTGTTACTGCTGTTGTGAAGTTATTAATGGCTGCCTCATTGTGAAGTCTGAAGGTGACTTTAGTAGTGTCTTGGGGTATTTTACCAAGAGTTGTTATGAGGAAAGTAGAGTAGTGGTCTGTGGTATTATCTGTGATTATGCCTGATCTTAAGGGGGATATGGTGTTGGTCCAGATGTGGTCAAGTAGGGAAACACTAGTCTCTGTAACTCTTGTAGGTTTTGTTACTGTTGGTAGTAACATACAGTTACTCATTGTGTTTGTGAATTCAGTAACGTGTGGGTCCTGGTCTTGCAGGAGATTTATATTGAAGTCACCTGAGAGTAGTAAGTGATCTTTGTTCATGCGTGCATCAGTTATCATACTTCCTAGGTTTTGACTAAATTGGCTAATGTTTGACTGTGGAACTCTGTAGATGTTTATCAATGTGAGAGGTTTTTGTAGGTATTTGGATTTGAATTTAGCTATTATATATTCCCCATGTTCATCCCTTGTGCGAGTATTAGTGATACATTCTAGTTGGTCTGAGTAGTATATAGCTGTGCCACCCCCTTGTTGGTCTGGCCTACAGTTGTGTATGGCTGTGTAACCAGGAATGGCATAGACATCTGTACTATCAGGCTTTAGCCTGATACTACAGATGAGAGTAATGATGGACATACTGGCATGCAGGGAATTTAGTAATGCTATGAGGTCATCGTAATGTTTGCTTAAAGATCTGATATTGTAGTTAAAGATAGTTATGTTGTTGTTGGCTCTGAGAAGTGCCTTTGATTGTTCTGCTGTGTAGTAATTACAGTTACTGTTTGATTCATTTAAGCCATTAGATAAGAGGTTGGTATCAGGATCAATGCTTGTTATCATAAGATTTATAGTGAATCTATTGTTAGAATTAAGTATAAGACAAAGTAAATATTCTAAGGCTATAAAATAGCACCTGAGTTATTTTAACAAATGTAAAATATATGAGCTAAGGTAGCTCTTTAAAGCTAAAATAAATGAGGCTACATTTAGGGGGTTACATTTAGGGGGTTACATTTAGGTGTGTATTCAGGAAATCCACAGTTATGTAGAGCATGTCGGGCAAATTAAATCTAGGTATTACAGAGTTAATAAGCAGTCAGTTGTTTCATTAGGTTGGATTTTAATTACAAACAATGAGAATAAGCATATATAATTGTCCGTATGTTTGTGGATGAGAGAATTACTTACCATATTAACACGTTTATTATATTTAATTGTTGTAAGCTGTACATGAATGGTAGACAGTACCGGCAAGATGAAGAATTAGACACATGTGCAACATCTGGGTATCTTTATTTATAGACATTTCGCCATCCAGTGGCTTTATCAGAACAAGGACGTGATGTGAAGACTGTGGAACTGTATACAAAAGATGAGGTAATCAGTCCCTCAGCCTTGGAGTTGGTGAAGACCACTTTAGTCTTGAAGAGTCGGGAGCACAAGCAAGAAGGCTGGTGCTTATATATGTCTAAAGATACCCAGATGTTGCCCATGTGTCTAATTTCCATCTTGTTGGTATTGTATACCATTCATGTTGTACAAGAATGGTACATAATACCGACAAGATGAAATTAAGACACATGTGCAACATCTGGGTATCTTTATTGTAGACGTTTTACCATCCAGTGGCTTTATCAATACAAATTCCAGGACATAATTTGTATTGATAAAGCCACTGGATGGCGAAACGTCTACAATAAAGATACCCAGATGTTGCACATGTGTCTTAATTTCATACCATTCATGTACATTATCATTCTTCTTACGGTCGTAGTGTTAATATTAAATCGCCACGAAACCTGAAATTTTGTGGCACTTCTAACTGTAGTGTATATCCGGTAGAGGGAAGGTCGTCGTTTCTGCAGCAAGGAGACGTTACTGAAGAGACTACCCATCACGACATGGCTTCCCAAGTACGACTTAGAGTGCCTGGAGGGAGATATCATGGCTGGGTGTGCTGTTGGTCTCACGCTCATCCCACAGAGTATGGCTTATGCTGCTGTGGCTGGCCTCACACCTAATGTAAGTTGAATGTCTTACACTCACATACCAGTGTACATAAATGGTTCACAGAACCGACACGTTGGTAAATTCGATATATGTGTAACACCTGGGTATCTTTAAAGATATGCAAGTGTTGCACGTGTTTAATTTATCAGTGCTTGTAGGAGTGTTTGGTTCAGAAGTGCTTGTTTCAGCAGTGCTTGGTTCAGCAGTGCTTGGTTCATCAGTGCTTGGTTCAGTAGTGCTTGGTTCAGTAGTGCTTGGTTCAGTAGTGCTTGGTTCAGCAGTGCTTGGTTCAGCAGTGCTTGGTTCAGCAGTGCTTGGTTCAGCAGTGCTTGGTTCAGCAGTGCTTGGTTCAGTACTTGGAACAAAAGTACTTGTATCAATAGTACCTGTATCGGTAGTACTTCTGTGATCGGTACTTTTACCAACAGTATTTGTATAAAGAGTACTTAACAATAGCACTGGTATAAAGAATACTGACAATCAAGAGTACATTAACATCAATAGTTCATCTCTTTCTCCTACACAGTACGGGTTGTACTCAGCCTTCATGGGCTGTCTGGTCTACGTAATCATGGGCACCTGTAAGGAAATCAGCATTGGACCCACAGCTATCAACGCACTTATGACTTACGAGTACTCTCGTAGTGGTGGACCAGAGTATGCAGTACTCTTGTGCTTCCTCAATGGACTCATAATCCTCGCTGCTGCAATGTGTAACCTGGGTAGGTTTTTTTGGTGTGGTTTCTTGGTTTTTATGTGTGTTTTAATGTGTTTGTGTAAGCTGTTTTTGGTTTTTACCAGTGGTGGGCACAGTTAACCAAAAAGTCACCTTCATTAACCACTAATCCGCTAACTAAAATGTTAGCTCCGATAACGCTAAACGGCTGAAAAAATTAGCGGAAGCTAACGCTGAATGCTAACCGCTAACTTTTTCACATAAATTCGTTTTTTTTTTTGGTCTTTTAATTTTACTTTTAAGACTTATACTCGAGTATAAGTACCAGTGTTTTAAAGTAACGAAGTAAAACTGCTTGAGTACTGTACTTAAGTAACTTTTTTCGGTATTTACTTTTTAAAAAGTACTGAAATTGCCCACTACTTTTACTGAAGTACTGAAGTCTGTTATTACTTCATTACAATCTGATAATGATATGTTACTCGTTACATCACTAATTTTTGAAAAGTAAACACCGAAAAAAGTTACTCAAGTACATTATTATTATTATTATAATCAAGGGGGAAGCGCTAGACCCGTAGGATTATACAGCGCCCAGGGGGGGGGATGTGAAAGGCATTCAGGCTTAATTCGGGGAAGTGGAGCACAGATCCAATTCCCTAAATCAAGAGCCCCTCACCAACATCAAGGGGTACTCAAGTACAGTACTCGGGTAGTTTTGCTTCGTTACTTTACAACACTGTCATAACTTGCAATACCCATGAAAATTAAGAAAATATCTGAAAAGCTATAGTAGTAGTTTAGTAAGAGCTTATAACTCATAAATACCTTATAAAATACCCCAATTGTTTATGGCTTACCAAAATACTCCTGCCCAGGGTGCGGTGGGACATTGACGTCTTGCTGAGGTTCAGCGTCTCGATCAGGCTGACAAAGGTGGGGGATTTCACTACATGCAGCAGTAGCATGTTGCAGATGAAAAGGACCACAATCTTTGTGTCCACCACAGACTGATGGATGCTAGTGCCAGCAGCAACAAATGCTTCGCCAAGGGTGGTCTGGCATGCACTCTTTGCAGGCGGCTGTGACGACTGGCTGCTGCTACTGCTAGTGGCGCTGCCACAAGAAGATTGCCTGTGTTTTCCACAGGTAGATCCGGCCTTGATTCTCTCCTCAAACATGACGTGCTGGGTGTTTCCTCTTAACATGCGACTTCAAGTTGTAGAGGCTCGCCGCCTGTCCCTTGATGGTCTCCTTGGGTTGGCACTGATGCACAGGAAGTATAAAATGTTGACTTTCTTTGTATCCCTTGACTTGAGGAAAAAGTCATCCAGATAGGGCCACGGATTCTGCGACTCCTGGCCCTCAGCTTGAGCGGCCTCTGCTTCAACCACAGCCACTGCAGACTCCTCAACAACGCCCTCAGGCAGAACAGAAATGTCTCCCCTGTTCATAACGATAAGTGACAACGCACCCCGGTGATCGCTGACACTGTAAGACTATAACAACACTGCAGCAGCAGCAGCATCTGAGCATCGACAAGTTTGCATGTAGTCAGTAGCATGCCTGACTGACTGTTGGAGAAATGCCCAAAACAGACAAGAATAAACACATGCGCCATTGAGAAGGCATTGCTTTCCGACTACCAACAGCATATGTTTTTTTTTAGCAGATTCAGATTTAGTGGAACTTTATTTAGCGGAAGCTAATTGGTCCATTAACAGTTTCCAAAGTTAGCGGAAACGCTAATTCACTAATCAAGAAGTTAGTTCTGCTATTAGCGGTTAGCAGATTAGTGGAACCGTGCCCACCACTGGTTTTTATGTGTTTTTAGATGAGTCACTGTACTTCCCACCTTTAGTACTGTAACATCCCCACTCATCCCTCAGAGCACAACCACTCAACACCCTCCAGGACTCAAGTCCTGCTACATATTAACATTACCTAATATTCCCAGGATTCCTGATCAACTTCATATCACGGCCAGTGATATGCGCGTTCACCTCGGCAGCGGCCATCACCATCGCCTCAACACAGATTAAAGGTCTCTTTGGTCTCTCCTTCAAAAGTAATGGCATTCTCGACACGTATGTCAAAATCTTTCAAAACATTGGTGACACCAGATGGCAGGATCTAACCCTAGGATTGTCTACTATCGTGGTTTTGCTTCTAATGAAGGTAATGTGCTGTTTCAGAAGAAAATACTTTACCATCACTCAGTTCATGGCTCTTTATTTTAGTGGTAAAGCAACTGGTTATCTAGTTAATTTGTCCCACCGGTCACTCAGTTAATTTGTCCCACTGGTCACCCAGTTAATTTGTTCCACCAATGCAGTTAATTTGTTACACCAATGCGGTTAAGTTGTCCCACTGGTCATCTGGTTAATTTGTCCCACTGGTCATCCAGTTAATTTGTCCCACCGGTCATCTGGTTAATTTGTCCCACTGGTCACCCAGTTAATTTGTCCCACACTCTTCCATGGATCTGTCATTAATATTAACCCACAATTTTTCATAAATTTCTTTAAATATTTCTAGTTCCATACTTTTTTAAGTTATGTGGGTTGTTTGACTGTAATTATTATTAGAATTATTATTATAATAATTATTATTATATATGTCATTGATGTAAGCTGTGGTCTGTATAAGTTATATTCTTGTATATATAATAATTATTATTATTATTAAGCTGAAACAGATATTCGTATACCAACGAAACCACCTGTGCTTTCAGAGACTGAAAGATATGAAAGCAGTGAAGGTTCGTGCTGGCGACACACTCGGCACACGAATGTGGAAGAAAGTCGTCTTCTTGGTGTCTATTGGTCGCAACGCCATAGTGGTTATCATAGGCCTGGTGACGGCCTACCTTCTCGACGATCACCAGCCCTTCATTATCACGGGTACTGGCCATGTGTGTGGTTTTGGTGATTTTGAAGGAAATTTTGATTTTGAAGGGAATTTTGATGATTTTGTAAGGGATTTGGATGATTTTAAAGGAAATTTTGATTTTGAAGTAGATTTTTGTTTTGAAGTAGATTTTGAGGATTTTGAAGGAATTTTTGAACTGAATTTTTATGATTTTGAGGGATGTTTTGATGATTTTGAAGGAAATTTTGATTTTGAAGTGAATTTTGATGGTTTTGAAAGAAATTTTGAAGTAAGTTTTGATGATTTTGAAGCAATTTTTTGTTTATTTTGAATATAATTCAATAATTTTGTTACATTGTGATGATGTATAAGTACAGCCTCTCCTCACTTAGCGACGTACTCGTTTACCGACGCCTCAGACTTACGATGGGCTCTCTGACCAGTATGCATACCTAAATAATGTATATTAGAGCTGATTTCCTCTATTATGTTCATTACAATATACAGTACACTACTGTATAAACATTTAAAATTTACCAGAAATGTTATAAAGGGTGCAAAGGTTACATTAATACAATAACAAAGATGGTTGACACAAACCCACTACCATTATAGTATGCTCCTCACTTAGCAACAAATTCGTTTACTGACATGGTCTTAGGAGCGGAACTCCATCGTTAAGTGAGAGGCTGTATATTAATAATAATTTTAACCTAGGCTAAATCATATTATATTAACTTGTACATACATTGTAAATTGTGTACTTGAATTTGAAGTACATTTTGATGCTTTTGAAATGCATTTTGATTTTTCATTTTTTAATACACTGGCCATCTCTTACCAAGCCAGGGTGGCCTGGAAAAGAAGAAACACTTTCATCATCATTCACTTCATCACTGTCTTGCTAGAGAAGCACCTACATTATACAGTGGACCCCCGCTTAACGATCACCTCCCAATGCGACCAATTATGTAAGTGCGTTTATACATGTATGTTTGGGGGTCTGAAATGGACTAATCTACTTCACAATATTCCTTATGGGAACAAATTCGGTCAGTACTGGCACCTGAACATACTTCTGGAATGAAAAAATACCGTTAACCGGGGGTCCACTGTAGTTGAAAAATTACAACATCAACACCCCCTCCTTCAGAGTCCAGGCACTGTACTTCCCACCTTCAGGACTCAAGTCTGGCTAACCAGTTTGCCTGAATCCCTTCACAGAATACAACCCAGCTCACATTCCAGTATCACGTCAAGTCCCAAAAACAGTTCATCACCCTTCACTCTTCAGAGTGCAGGCACTGTATTTCTCAGGAACTTAATTAAGTCTGGCTAACTGGTTACCCTGAATCCCTTCATAAATGTTACTTTGCTCACACTCCAACAGCACATCAAGTCATAAAAACCATTTTCCTCCACTTCTGTCTAACATTCTCATGCATGCTTGCTGGAAGTCCAAGCCTCTTGCACACAAAACTTCCTTTATCCCCTCCCTCCAACCTTTCCTATATATTCTTTGTCTATACAGACTCCACAGTGTACCACTCACCTTTTTCCCCTTCATCAATTCTATGATTCACTTGGTCTTTCATAGATTCATCTGCTGACAAGTCCATTCTCAAATATCTAAACACATTCACTTCCTCTATACTTCCTCCCTTCAAATATGATATCCAGTCTTTCATTACCTAAATTTTTTGTTATCCTCATCACTATAGGATTGAGGAAGAACCAGTTGTGAGTGTGGGGGAAGTGCGTGGGGCAGTGAGCACGTGGGGCAGTGAGCACGTGGGGCAGTGAGCAGAATGAAAGGTGGTAAAGCTGCTGGGATTGATGGGATAAAGGTAGAAATGTTAAAGGCAGGTAGGGATATAGTTTTGGAGTGGTTAGTCTTTTTATTTAATAAATGTATGGAAGAGGGTAAGGTACCTAGTGACTGGCAGAGAGCATGCATAGTTCCTTTGTATAATGGCAAAGGGGACAAAGAGAGTGCAAAAATTATAGAGAAATAAGTCTGTTGAGTATACCTGGTAAAGTGTATGGTAGAGTTATCGATAGAATTATGAGTAAGATGGAGAGTAGGATAGCAGATGAGCAAGGAGGCTTTAAGAAAGGTAGGGGGTGTGTAGACCAAGTGTTTACAGTGAATCACATAGGTGAACAGTATTTAGATATGGGTAAAGAGGTTTTTGTGGCATTTATGGATTTGGAAAAGGCATATGATAGGGTGAATAGGGGGGCAGTGTTGCAGGTGTTACAAGTGTATGGAAGAGAAGGTAGGTTATTGAAAGCGGTGAAAAGTTTTTACAAGGATAGTGAGGCTCAGGTTAGAGTATGTAGGCTAGAGGGGGATTATTTCCCAGTAAAAGTAGGCCTTAGATAGGGATGTGTGATGTCACCATGGTTGTTCAATATATTTATAAATGGAGTAGTAAGAGAAGTGAATGCTCAGGTGTTGGCAAGAGGTGTGGGGTTAAAAGATAAAGAATCTAACACAAAGTGGGAGTTGTCACAGTTGCTCTTCGCTGATGAAACTGTGCTTTTGGGAGATTCTGAAGAGAAATTGCAGAGGTTAGTTGACGAGTTTGGTAGGGTATGAGGATAAGGATAACAAAAAATGAGGATGAGGATAACAAAAAAATAGGTAATGGAAGAGTGGATATCAGATTGGAGGGAGAGAGTATGGAGAAGGTAAATGTGTTCAGATATTTGTGAGTGGACGTGTCAGCAGATGGGTCTATGAAGGATGAGGTGAATCATAGAACTGATGAGGAGAAAAAGGTGAGTGGTGCACTGAGGAGTCTGTGGAGACAAAGAACTTCATCCATGAAAGCAGAGAGGGAATGTATGAGAGTATAGTTATACCAACGCTCTTGTATGGGTGTGAAGCATGGGTTGTGAATGTTACAACAAGGAGAAGGCTGGAGGCAGTGGAGATGTCATGTCTGAGAGCAATGGGTGGTGTGAGTATAATGTAGAGAATCCGTAGTTTGGAGATTAGGAGGAGGTGTGGGATTACCAAAACTATTATCCAGAGGGCTGAGAAGGGGTTATTGAGATGGTTTGGATATGTAGAGAGGATGGAATGAAACAGAATGACTTTGGGAGTATACAAATCTGTAGTGGAGGGAAGGTGGGGTAGGGGTCGGCCTAGGAAAGGATGGAGAGAGGGGGTAAAGGAGGTTTTGTGTGCAAGGGGCTTGGACTTCCAGCAAGTGTGCATGAGCATGTTAGACAGAAGTGACTGGAGACATACGGTTTTTTAGGACTTGACGTGCTGTTGGAGTGTAAGCAAGGTAACATTTATGAAGGGATTCAGCAGGCCGGATTCGAGTCCTGGAGATGGGAAGTACAATGTCTGCACTCTGAAGGAGGGGTGTTAATATTGCAGTTTTTATAACTATTGTGTAGGCATGCCTCTGACAAGACAGTGATGGAGTGAATGATGGTGAAAGCTTTCCTTTTTCGGGCCACCCTGCCTTGGTGGGAAACCGTCGATGTGTTAATAAATAAAATAAATCACCTTACTCTTTCCTATGTTCACTTTTAATTTCCTTCTTTTACATACTCTACCAAACTTATCCACCAACCTCTGCAACCTCTCTTCAGAATCTCCCAAATGCACAGTGACATCAGCAAAAAGCAACTCCCACTTACTTGGAGTATACCTGGAGAGGGTTTTGGGGGTCAATGCCCCCGCAACCTGGTCTGTGACCAGGCCTCATGGTGGATCAGGGCCTGATCAACCAGGCTGTTGCTGTTGGCCGCACGCAACCCGACATACAAACCACAGCCCAGCTGGTCAGGTACTGACTTTAGGTGCCTGTCCAGTGCCTTCTTGAAGACAGTCAGGGGTCTATTGGCAATCCCCCTTATGTATGCTGAGAGGCAGTTGAACAGTCTTGGGCCCCTGACACTTATTGTCTTCTCTCTCATCGTGCAAGTGGCTCCCCTGCTTTTCATTGGGGGATGTTGCATCGTCTGCCAAGTCTTTTGCTTTCGTTGTGAGTGATTTTCGTGTGCAAGTTTGGTACTAGTCCCTCTAGGATTTTCCAAGTGTATATAATCATGTATCTCTCCCGCCTGCGTTCCAGGGAGTACAGGTTCAGGAACTTTAAAAGTTTCCAGTAACTGAGGTGTTTTATAGCATTTATGTGTGCCTTGAAGGTTCTCTGTACATTTTTTAGGTCAGCAATTTCACCTGCCCTGAAAGGTGCTGTTAGTGTGCAGTGATGGGAGTGATCATGTCGGAGGATCTCACCTTCAAGGACCATAACATTATATCAGTTGCGTCTGTTAGAAAAATGACAGGATGGATAATGAGAACCTTCATAACCAGGGATGCCAAACCCATGATGACACTCTTCAGGTCACTTGTTCTATCTAGGCTGGAATATTGCTGCACACTAACAGCACCTTTCAAGGCAAGTGAAATTACTGACCTAGAAAATGTACAGAGAACCTTCACGGCGCGCATAACGGAGATAAAACACCTCAGTTACTGGGAACACTTGAAGTTCCTCAACCTGTACTTCCTAGAATGCAGGCAAGAGAGATAAATGATTATACACACTTGGAAAATCCTAGAGGGACTAGTACCGAACTTGCACACAAAAATCACTCCCTACGAAAACAAAAGACTTGGCAGATGCTGCAACATCCCCCCAATGAAAAGTAGGGGTGCCACTAGCACGATAAGAGACAACACAGTAAGTGTCAGGGGCCCAAGACTGTTCAACTGCCTCCAAGCAATACAAAAGGGGAATTACCAATAGACTCCTGGCTGTCTTCAAGCAGGCATTGGACAGGCACCTAAAGTCAGTACCTGACCAGCCAGGATGTGGTTCGTACGTTGGATTGCGTGCGGCCAACAGTAACAGCCTGGTTGATCAGACCCTAATCCACCATGAGGTCTGGTCACAGACCGGGCTGCGGGGGCATTGACCCCCGGAACTCCCTCCAGGTATACTCCGGGTAATATTCCAGCCTAGATTCTATATATTTTAATCATAGAATTGATGAGGGAAAA